GTAGTATTTTAGCAAGCTTACGAACGCATATAGGATACCATCAGGATTGTCATTGGTAAGTTGAAGAGGAGATACTTTTACGATGTAAATGACAGTAGAAATAAGTCCTACATACATATTATGTTGTTGTACTTCGTATTGGTTTATTATTCATGTAGAGTATGAGACACTAAGTGAAAGTTTTCTGAGGTACATCTGCAATTGTCGGAAGGCAAAAATAAATAAATTTATAAATAAATCCATAAATCTAAATCTAAATCCATCCATAAATCCATCAATCCAGTAGTAGTAGTAGCTATGTATGTAGTGGGAACCATGCCAAATTCCGCCCACTGTATGTAGGCTTCAAACTTGTCGACGCAACACGCAGCCCTTCCCCCAAAAAATGTGAGACTCGCATCTACCCAGCGCAACCACCCTGCTGTGCACCCGCCAAACAAAGCGACCAAGCATAATAAGAACGCGCCCACTGCAGCATCAATTGCCACCAACTTTTATTTGAGGGAAGATGGACTGATCACCATTGAGTATATTGCAGAAGGGTTGAACTCGATTGGTGGCGGGAATCAAGAGGTAGACACAGATGAAGTTGAAAACTTGCATTAACATACAGGCACCATGCATATTATTTTCTGCCACGCCGCCGGCAACACCACCGAGCATTCGTAATGTTAGTTGCTGATCTTGAGGTTGTACAGCACTTGGAAATATGCTGCAAGACGTACTACACGGGGCGTACTCTTGAATGGCGTCAGCTAGATAGATTTGACCTGAAAAAAAAAAAATGCTGTTGGGGTGCCCCCCTCTCCTCCTCCTGCTGCGGTGTTGCGCCGCACACACTTCTGACTTGTGCCTGTTGACTCGGGGCCCTCACCCAGCAGTACAACTTTCCGGAATCCCGGAGAAAAAAACTATGAGAGGATGGAGTAGCGACAGTACCACGGCAGCTACACGAACAGGGAACTTGATCGCTGATAACCTTGCGCTATCTGACGTCGCACGCAGACAGGCACGGCCGGCAATCAATATGTACACACTATTATTATTATAATTGTTGAAGTATTTTTTCTCTAAGCATACGAATACATTGTACGCACTGAGCATTGATTGGGTGTGTCGGAAACGCGAGGAAATACTAAAACACGAACACCGCACACAAGACTGCCCCCCCCGGGTTGCCCACACCTGTCAACATCATGCCCGAACTGAAGGAAACAACAAACACCTTATTTTCAGTCAGTACAAGCGACACAGACAGGCAGGCCCGGAAGGAACGCCAAAGCACCCCCGTACCTTTCAGGCAGTTTGCGACTAACAAAATATTATGCCAATAAACAACGGACACCCAGCGCGGCCGAAAAATATTCCCCCCGTCCACCTCCCTGCGCAACTGGGTAGGGGAATACAGGGGAGAAAACGCGCACGCTGTTCGTCCGTCTCGTATTTCGTACCCCGGGGTCCTCGTATTATTTCGTGGACGGATGCATCCAACGGAAGTGAAGCACGGACGGACCTGTTCAACCACCAACAAGGACGCGAGAAATATGTCATTGAAACATGGAGTTAGAATAAATCAGACCACACCATCTTTCGGTACGACGTGGAGATCTGACGTCCAATAACGCCGGGCACGACATCCCCAATCTCAATCTCAAGGATCGATATATATATGTATATATATATATCTATAAAGTGGTGGTAGTTTTCCTGGACCCGCCCACAGGCCACTTGATAAATTTCTCTCTAGGGCCTGGTTATTTACCCAACAAAAATATACACCATTCGAAAGCTATGAACCACGGCTTTCGAATGAACCCACTTTTAGCTTTCACAGACACCTTGGTGACGAGTTATTATGCCGAATATACCGTTTCACCAAAAACGCGGCGGAACCGGTAAATTACGATTTGTCGTGCCCCCACCACCGCTGTGAAAAAAAAAAGATATATATGTACAACCCAGTAGTGGGCCCCCTCTAGTGCACTTTGAATATAGTGCAACCGCACGATATTATGTTGTTGTTGTTGTTGTTGTTGTTGTTGTTGTCTTCACGTTAAACCGTATGTCAGTTGCTAAATGCCAAAATCTGGCAAAAGACTCTCAGCCCGTGGTCACGAAAGTGCTAGAGCCATCTGAGGATCTAAAAAACACGCACACATACATATAACGAGAAAAAGGTATCCAAGAGCCCGAAGAGGTACACCTAAAAATCCCTGCAGCACCGTATGCGTGCCCAAAAACTGAACTGCACGTCCGTCCCACCGTTCGACTACAGTTAGTTAGTAGCATCACCCCCTCCCTGTCCCACTCTATACCAAAACGGAAGATTGCCGACTACAGCATAATGCTGTCTAAAGTGCTGTCTTTACAAAAACACCATGGTAGGCATGGAACAAGCAGCTGGCGGGGCACAAAGCTGCTGTCTGAAGTGCTGTCAGAATGTGTCTGCGGCCGTACAGTGAAAAAGAACAACCAACCAAAGCCATGATTGCAATGGACAATCACCCGAACCTCTCCCGATCGTCTGTGTTAGGCACGCAGTGAAAATATCGACAATAGCTAAGAATCGTTCCACATTGAAGGGGTCTTCCACGATCAGGCACATAACCAAGGCACCCGGGTTAGCCACGCCATCTCTGACGGGTCTCTCTACAAAACCGGTGAAGATGGCATCACACAAAACCAACACGGAAAGTCAGAAAAAAAACCCGAAAAAATTGACAACACAGATAGAAATGTTTGTCCGTGCGCCACGGGTCGATGTCGCCCGCATGCTCCGGTGCC